TAATGGCTACCACTTGGAACAAAACACTTCCTGATCTGTCAAAGCTTGAGCCTTTAGATGGAAACAATTATAAACATTGGTCCGAGAAACTTTTAATTTTTTTTGAATAATTAGAAGTTGATTACGTTTTGTCTAACGATATATATATCTTATACATTCGCCGACTATTTTTAATTTGAGAGGCAGAGCTAATAGTTATTTTGATTAGTTATTCAATCTTTTAGAGGAGCTCCACCCATTAACAGTTGTCCTAGAAATATTCTTCACATTTTCCAGCAAGCCCATGCTCCCGTTTGGGTAAGGCTTTAACTTGAAAAGAGCTTCATTCCTATTTTTGGCAAATAGCATAGCTTGCGTCCAACGACTTTATTATCCCTCTGATGTATTGTGCTATAACTTGTTTCAGTCTTAAACTTTTTCATTTCTTTCCCCCTTCCTAGTTACAAGCACAGCTTAAATTCTGACTGGACCGACAAGTTAGACACTTCTGGCCCATTACAAGGCCCAAACCAATCGGACAAGATATAAAATTAGAAAAATTAACCCAAATAACCGTTCACCTAATTTCTTAAACTAAAATTAGCCGGAGGATGTATAATATATGTATATATATATAGTTCATATATGATATATGTATAATTGTGTGTAGTCAATGTATAATCTATGTATACCGGCTAGAAAAAGTAAACATTGTATCTGGCCAGCTATTTATGTAACAGTTCCATAAAATTAGCCGGTCGGTCGAAATTAATTGCACTCGCTAGCCCAAAAAAAATATAAAATATATATTTTTTGTTGGCTATATTTTCGGAAGCGACTAAAAATATACATTTTTCTCAAGTATCCAACATTTCTAAATAAGAGAATGAGATGGATTACGACAATACAAGCTTTGCTCCTCCACTACATGGCCCTATTGGCTCTTGCACATCAGCACTGTATCTGTGCTGATTACTTGGCTATTTCTTCTTAACACTGATAAAATTAACTCAAATAACTGCTCATCCAACTGCTTAAATTAAAAATAGCCAGTGGAGGTATAATATATGCATAGTTCATGTATTATATGTGTATAACTAGTTTTAAGATACGTGTGTTGCGTGTGTACTCTATATCAGTATACATAAGCTCTTGAAAATAATGAATATTGATCCCGCTAAGCCAACTTAAAATTAAAAAATTATGTCAAGGCAAAGTATACTAATGTCTTATCATAACTTCGATATATGAGTCATTTATTTATTTTTACAGTTGAGACATAGTAGAATAATATGTTGAATTGTATTCATATATCATACGATAATACTATCTTTGTTGCCTTAAAATATGAGTTTTATTTTATCAAGTATTCTATCTAATATGAACCAGTTAGAGTGTAGCCCGGGCCCAAAAGCTATCTAGTATTGTTACTAATACTATTAGTTTAGATGTCACTCACTTTTTCATTTAAATCCACCGTGTTGGTTATGTAAATGGTGATAAATTTATGCCCTCAAGGGCTATATGTTTCAGGTTGGGCATCCTTCTTGGTAAAATAGAGCGTAAGTCTTTACAATATTTTTCGGTAACACAGTTGATATGTACCAGATTATAAATGACTCGACTATAGTGGGAGAAGTAATTTTTCTACCAAAGTTATCTGACCAAGAAATTTAGTTGTGAGGAGTCCTGCAATAGTCTTAGAATACATAATATTTTGCAATTGAGAGAGACATGATATATGGTCGATTCGGCTAGCTTGTGTAGATAGATTTTAAAGAAGTTACATCAAGATCGGAAAATGAACTTAGTATACACACTGCAAGTGTAATAAATTGAAAAAATAAGATATTTCATATTTGTAAATCACAATTACTTTATTTTCTCTAGTTGGTTTGCCAATATTAAAGGTGTCAATATTACTTAGGTAAATTTGTACTAAAGGTGTCAATATTAAATAGAAAAGGATGTAGTTAGACCAGAGATCCAAGAATGTTGAATTTTTCTTGTAGTTATATAAAACATATTATTTTCACTCTACCAAAGTACATGGAAATAACCAAACTGAGCATAACCTAATCCTTTTGATAACTAACGCTACAATGAAGCTTTACTCCGAGATGTCACTTTTTGTGCACTTAAAGTGACACTCACATATTAGCAGATGTGATGGACATTTTATCTCTATCGAAATTATCAAAATGAGTAGCAGAATTATTTACTAAAAGATTTTATATGAAGATGAGGAACCGTAAGAGCTAGTAGCTGTGAGTCATAGGTAATATCAGTACAAAAGTTATTTGTTTTACATTAAAATGTACGTTCACAACAGTACGCAAGCTCAAACACTGGTCCAACATTTGGAAGCTCTTTAGTTTAATTCTTTGTTAGCTTTATTTTATATCATATTTATTTTAATTAATTTGGAGTTTGTTCTTCGCACATTGACCCAAAGAAAAGGATAGTTCTTGTGCTATATTTCATATATAATCCTAATTTATCATTTGAATTCAAGGAGCGGCGGGTTCATTTTACAAAAAGTTGGAAAAAACCCCTATTTACAAATCATTATGAGATCTTCTAAAATTATCTGAGTAAAATGTGGTTGGGTTAGGGGGGTGGGGGTGGGGGTGGGAATTTTATTAAATAATAGTAACCTTACAGACTTATCCAATTAAAAAAACCGATTCCAAGCATAATTATCAAAATGAGCCTAAGCAATGGACTAAGAAATGCAATTAGCAAATTAAAGGACAACTAAAGTAGTAGATATATAACAGTGATGCAAATCTTCATATACATCAAAGCAATACGTTTAGCGAAAAATGATATTATTATATGCTTGTTGAGCAAGTGTTATCTCTTTTAGCAATTGTAAGATGAGCATGTATCAGTCTAATATTTGAAATTCTAAAATGTATATAAAATTATGACATCTCGACAACTCTTTATTTTGATAAATTAATTTGCATTTTTTTTAAATATTTATGCATGATTTATTTTATATTTGGTTTGGGAAAAGTATATACTTGATCTCGATATTTTTGAAGTAAGACAATTGTACCTATATATTTTTGTCTCATGTTCCTGTAACGTCCAATTAATCTAATAGTAAATTTTTTACCAACCACATATGATTCTCTTCTTATCCAATCTAAAATCATAAATGCGATATTTAATTTTTCAAGACTATCATCAGTATATTGGAAATCACCTCGAGTGCCCAAAAAATTAGGTGTCATTAAAAATAAGTATTATGATAGAAGTTGTAATCAAACTAAGTTTACAATGAAGGTGCATATTTCTTGAATGTGGAAACTCGATCATGCTTATTGTAATTGTGTGATTTTTGATAATTAATTTTTGCCATTTCCTTTTTGTCACCTATACGTCCATTACATCAATTTTTGTTTGTAGAAAGCGTAATGGCTGTAGGTTCCTGTAATACATCTTAACATCTAGAATAATCCTAGTAAGTGTTTGGCTTTTCTTATTATGTTTATCTTAAGGAAAAGCTAATATCTTTTCGTGCTTTACGTAATTTTAGATAATATTAAGTAAGATTTAAATCATAAATATTTGAACTACCAAAATAATCATAAGAGTTTTAGTGGTACGTCTTCTTTTATGCCTTTGCTCTGTTATTTTAACAACTGATTCGATTATTTATATTGTTGTATACTTTAGTAGCAAATAAATTATGCAGTATATGACGCACAAAATTATTTTATGTAATATTTTAAGGGATAATTTTTATAAATAGAGATGGGTACTGTGCCTAGATAATCATGCAATTATTTTGATAATGTTTTTTGTTCTTGCTATTTTGCTTTGAATTTATGTTAATTATAAAAGAACGGTTCAACATTAAAGTCTTCCTGAAAAATTAAATTTTATCACTTGTTCTTCAAATTAAATTTTACCAATACAAACGGTAGTTTTAGAATATTTAAATACTCCCAAGCTCTCAACTGAGTTTTAAAAGACCTAAAATGCTCTAGATTACATTTCAAGCATAGTATAAATATTTTTTTTCCACAAAAGTTTAAAATTATTGAGCACATATTAAACAATATATAAAATAGAAAACGGGTTGTAGTTTAGCTTGCTCCGGACTTAATAGAAAATCTTAGAAATCTTATCCTCATCCCTTTATACAAAAAGGTGAAAATCCCTATAAATTGTACCATCTTACGTGGCCTAGTGGAGAATAAATGACTAAGCAGCTGTACATGTAGTCAAAGTAGAGCTGATTATTTGGCCTTTGCATAATATCTCAACCGTACCGTTTATTTACTTATTCCGTATGATGGCAATTGTAGTAATAATGAGCTAATTCATGAAAAATATTGTTTGTCCATGAATTAGCTCATTATTACTACAATTGCCAGAATAAGTAAATAAAGGGTACGATTGAGCTATTTTGCAAAGCCTAAATAATCACTCTACGTTGCTTAGTCATGATGGTACAAGTTACAAGGATTTTCACCTTTTTGTATAAAGGGATGAGGATAAAATTTCTTAAGGTTTTCTATTAGGTCCATCATATACTGTGAGAAAGCTAAATTGTAGCCCATTTTCCATTGTATATAGTGTCTAATATATGCTGAATAAGTTTAAATATGTGGAAAAAATTAGTTCTTATACTATGGTTGAAAGGTAATCCAGATAGCATTTTAAGTCTTTTAAAACTCAGTTGAGAGCTGAGTCTACATTTTTAAAATATTCTAAAACTACTGTTTGTATTGGTAAAATTCAATTTGAAGAATTAACATAAATTCAAAGCAAAAGAGCAAGAACATAAAAATATTATCAAAACAATATTGACTTTTATATGGTTATTTAGGCAGAGTACCCGTCTCTATTTATAAAACTCTATCCCTTGAAATATTACATAAAAATAATTTGATATGTCAAATACTGCAATAATTCACTTACTACTAAAACTCTTATGACTATTTTGGTAGTTCAAGTATTTAGGATTTAAATCTTATTTGATATCATCTAAAATTGCGTTAAAGCACGATAAGATATTAGCTTTTCCTTATGATAAACATAATAAGTAAAGCCAAACATTTACTAGAATTATTTTAGATGTATTACAAAAATCTACATCCATTACAATTCATACAAACGAAAATTGATGTCGTGACGTATAGGTGATAAAAACTAATTATTAAAAATCACACAATTACAATAAGCATTATCGAGTTTCCATATTCAAGAAGCATGCACCTTCGTTGTAAACTTTGATTACAACTTGTATCATAATACTTATTATTTTTTAATGACACGGGTGATTTTCAATGTACCAAATACCAAACTTAGTTGAGAGGAGAATTAGAACGAGTGACGTGCGCCTACCACGCGTCACGTGCTGTACTAACTTTGCCCTGGACACAAGTAGATGACTCTCATTTGGTGACATATAAGCGATTTTCAGATGTCACAGAATGGAATAATTCTGGATGGTAAGATCAGGAGTTAAGAGAAAGCTTCTCTAGGTTTTGGATTCCTTGATTCGATGTTTTCTTCATTTCAAGAGCTCGTTTATATGGCGGTGCAATTGGAGGTTGTACAGGATCTAAACACTGATAGGTTCCATCTGCAGCTTTAGGAAGTGGATATGAACGGTCTGAATCGTACCCACTAAGGTCTCCACAAGCCAGAAATGGAATATACATCTTATTAGGACCTTCCAGCCATGCACTACTGCAATCTGTCATGAAACAAAAATGTTTGAAAGATGATGCAAAATACAAATATAAGCGGAATTAAATATAATCTGCATTTATAAAATGGAAACCACATTACTTCCAACATAAAAAACAGCAACTAGAAACTATATTCCAACACGAAGAAAAAGAAATACAGGCAGAATTAAGATCCATGTCACTTGCCTCAAAAATCATAAGGTGGCAAAATTTATAGTTAGCGTAAAGTAAAAGGCCATTTAGAGAAGATGCATCTGCACATGAAATTACCTAGGTCCTCTGTGCCAGATGGACTTCCAATCTTTTCAAGAAGGCGATGAAGATCTTTCTCATTAAATCCTTCAGGTGGAGAGTAATTCTCGCAAACTGCAAATGCCTCTGTACAAGGTAACACTAGTATTAAATTTGGTTAGTTAGCAGAAAATATGTTATGAAAAATATATAATCTAGGCAGGGAGACCACACGGGTGAGGGCGGGGGAGGAGCGAGGCGATGGTGTTATACATCGGGGATCCAAGTCGGGGTTGGGGTTGGGATCGGGGTAAGGGATAGGGTTAGTGTCGGGGTTCGGGACGGGGTCATGGTCATGGTCGGGACTTCGGGGTCGATTGGTGAAAGTGTCGGGATCTAGATAGAGGGCGAGATTAGAGTCGGGTTCGAGATCAAGGTCGGGATCAATTTACGAGGTCGAGATTGGGTCCAAGGTTGAGGTTCGGAATTCGGGGTCAAGTAGTGGTCGGGGGTCAGGACCGAGGGTCTAGGGTACGACCCCGGGACCTCACCCCATATCTCGACCCTGAGCCTGAACTCCGCCCGGACCTTAGGCCCAATCCCGAACTCGACATCGGACTTGTACCCCTACTGCCCCGCCCTCACCCATTTTGTCTCGGGGTGGTTGGGGTGAGATCGTGGTGTAGGGTGGTAAGTCAGGGGTTTGGGGGCCGGGTTGGCAAAGGTGTGGATTGGGGGAGAGGCTGGCGGTGAGGAAAGTAGAAAATTTGTTTTGGAAAATGAGTTTCTCTCTTGGTAGGGAAGTCATTTTCCCCCAATTGGAGGAAAATGAGTTCATAAGGAAAATATTGTCCAAAATATTTAAGCCAACTAAACACGAAAAAATTGAAAAACATTTTCCTTCATACAAAACACACCCCAAGTTTCATTCCAATTCGCATTTGATATATCTGATATATCTTATAGACTCCGCTAATCCTAAAACACCTACCGCTAATTCAGAGAAATAACCAAAGTTGAAGCCGGATATACAAACTAACTCTGCAGAAACATCATAAGGCAGTAGACCTTACCCCTACCCCTGGGTAAAGAGGTTGTTTCCAGTAGACCCTCGGCTCAAGAAGATGAAAAGAAACAATAGAATAGTAACAACAACAAAGGCTAGAAAGATAGTACCAGCTCCCTAAGAAACAGGAAGCAATCAATATTAGGAATATTTCTGTGTGAAACAACAAACATGAGTCCTTTCTAGATTGTAAGGGCATAAAGCAAATACTGAAAATGGCATTGGTAGCATGGGAATTATTGTGCAGACCAAAGAAGTATGGAGGGTTAAACATAAAGGGGTGTAAGCTGTGGAATGTAGCATCTGTGGGGAAACTGTTATGGCAACTAGTGACCAATAAAGAAGTGTTGTGGGTAAGATGGGTGCATGGTGTGTATATGAAGACGTGTAGGAACATTTGGGATCACAATCCACCTGTGGACTGTAGCTGGTATTGGAAGAAGATCAATGGATTAAAGCATAACATGTCTCAATGGTACAATGGGAGCACATACACTCTGGAAATGGTGCCTGTTCTGTTTCGAGTAGTTATAATGCGATGTTAGGCCACATGTCAAGATGCTGGGAAATGAGTTTGGTATGGAGTGGAGTGATGTTACCCAGGCACAAATTTGTGCTATGGATAGCAAATCAACAGAAAATGCTAACTAAGGAGCGACTGTTGCAGATGCATATTTCTATCACAGGGGATGCTGAATGTTGTATGTGTGACCTGGGAGTAATAGAGTCCCAACAACATTTGTTTGGTGACTGTTGTTGGGTGACAACTATGAGAGATGCTCTGGCAAGGTGGTCTGGCATCAATATACCAACTATGGCTATACCTGAGACATTACAGAGGATTAGCAGGAGGCATTGGAAGCAATTTAAAAAAGAAATAGCAGCAGCAATGATAGGAGCAGTAGTATATCATACTTGGCGAGCTAGGAACTGGAAAATCTTCAGGCAAATCAACTTGAACATGGAATTTTGTGTTGGACAAATCAAGAAAGAGATTGCAGAAAGATTGAGTATATATGAAGAATCTAGAAGAGCAAGACGATGTCCATTACTGTTAATACGATTGTGTAATTAGACTGTAGTACAGTTGGTATTTCTTTTTGTAGTAGATGAGCTCATGTATTTAGAGGATGTTTTTTTTTTAGAGGTCGTGCTGAACTGGGATAAGCTAGTACACGCGATGCTCGTAGGATGTAAAGCTTTTGGGTTGTTATGGTAATATTCACAGTTTATTACCAAAAAAGCAAATACTGAAATCCTTGAAATTTTACAATATTAACTTCTCACGAAATATTACAACATTATTAATTTGCAAGAGCTCGCAAATGAATGGGTTCCATTAGCAGGAAAATTTGCCACGTAAACAAGGTAGAAAACATTAGCTACTCACCTATGCTAGAATTCCGACTGCTCTTTGGCTTAGCAAAAGTCACTTCTGTGAAAAATAGTTTTAGCTGCATTATGAAGGCAAAACATAAGCAATCCACCATGATAACTCAAGAATGTAGAACATCCGACAACAGAAAACAAGAAACAGAGGTCTCCCCTAAAGACTAAACGAGATCTTGAATGAGTGAGGAAACTAAATCCAAAAATAATGAGTACACGTGCAATGAACCTGACAGTAAAGGAGGCTTGTGTCTTTTCCTCGAAAATTTTTTGCTATGAACTTTCCGCCTCCTTTTAGTATGTGAGTGACAATGGTTAGGCCCTGCAAGTTCAACCACCCAGGTGACAACTGAGATATCTCCAAACAGAGACTGAGAACAACATGGCAGACTTACATGAGAAACATCTCTTTAAGCACATATAACTGATCTTTCAAGGAATAAGCGAACACTATAAGCAGGATACCAAAAAACTAAAAACGAAGTAAGATGACATACAGAAACAATTATTTTCGTTTTTTGGTAATCTATATACAAAGCAACGTGAAATAGTGAGATAACATCACCAGATAAAAGAAGAATAAGTTATCTTCCTCAAAACAATAACAACAACAACCCAGTAAATTCCCACTAATGGGGTCTGGGGAGGGTAGTGTGTACACAGACCTTACCCCTACCCCGAAGGAGTAGAGAGGTTGTTTCCGAAAGACACTCGGCTCAAAAAAATAAAAAGACAAAAGAAAACACAATTTATCATGGAGATTTACAAAAAAGCATTTCTTTCAAACATCCTAATTAGAAAACAAGGAACTTCTAATTAGGCTTTCAAGTGTTCCTGGACAACAATGGCACTGATAATTTTATAGATGCAGGCATGCAGCAAAGCCATGAAAACTACACATCTATATGAGTGTGCCTTTTAGAGTTATTACAGTGTTGCTATATTGAGGCGAATATTATTCACTAAATTAATTCCACCTATTTTCTCTTAGAAACTAACCGCCAATATAAGCTGGGACTGAACAAATTCATCCATGTCATGAAGTCCCGTTACTGCAACATAAGAAAAACATAAGCACAGATTAGTTTCGTCAAATACAGCAAACATCAAAGTAATGTATCAGGGCAGTTGAAAGCAATTTCTTACCATCAGGTGCACCATCACAGACAACAAGGTCAGCCTTGCATCCGTCAAAATGTCTAATAACCTGTTAGAAATTGACAATGGTGCATATAAATGGTTAACCACAAAGCATGAGGGAAAATAACATATTACTAATATCTCCTAATATACTCCTTGAAGAACGAGAAAAACAAAGAAGAGCAAATGTAAAAAACGTAGACAATAGGAGACGAACACACTAAGATAAGAAGCCCAATGTATTACAACATTATGAGTAGCATGGATGTACAATATTTTTGTTGAGCAAATTGCAGCACCATCCCTAATTTTTTGCCTAAAATGCAAACTCAATGTTTTCACAGCCTGAAGTCATGGATCACGCCCCTTGTGTTATAAAAGTTATTTGTGTAGCAGTCCAGCCAATAGTGACACAGATCAAGGTATAAAAAGACACACATCAAGTTCACCACATCCAATCCTAAATTACACGAGAACTCTCAAAGATGCAGTTGGACAAAACTAGCCACCTTCATTCCAAATTTAACCTTCTCTTTCTCTGAGCATTATGTCTAATGGGCATTGTTTACCCTCAAAATCGGATAACAATTGAATTTATACGTTGTTTTAAGGATACGTGATATAACTTGATACAAATTAAGAAAACAAATTGATATTGAAGATAAAAGAACAAATACAAACCACACGAATTGAACAGCCTTGACCTTCGAGTTTGATCACCCTCGAACCAAGAAATGCCTCAACTGATGTATGAACAGAATAACAAGATGATAAAAGCTAGAAATGACAGTATATTGCTTTGTGTTGCGTATTGCAATGTATGTTACAAATGATCAGACCCCCCTTTATATAGTGGGGGAATCCTATTCTTGATACAATTCCATATAAGGTTAAAAATCTCATGATTTGCCAATTAATCGGCCTCTCATTGATATGTGCCGGGATTTCCGCCGTAATCCCCAACCGGTCACGAATATTTCGTCTTTCTGTTATTTGGCTTGGCAAATTTCCCTCGATCTCGTTTGGTCTCGATCTTCTTCGATCCCGAGGTCACGATCTCAACGATGTAACTTCGCACCTCGGTTCGATATAACCCGAGATCGAGCTTAATCCTCTTACGTTTCAGTCTCGATTGGTCACACAATAGGCGGACCCGATGAATCTTAAGGGAGATAAATTCTTTAAGAGATATTTCAAGAAAATTAAACAAAATAAATAATAATGGCTTAAGTAAGAAAGTAGAGTGATATAACTGTTCCATCCACTAAATTTTCTCAGCCATCGAATACTCCATCCATTCTAAATGCTCTGGTTTTTTTAATAATTAATTTTAGATTCTCTCAAATAGCTCTACTATGGAACAGGAAAAGGTGTGTTACTTTCCTTTTTAGGTAGTCAATTTTTTCAAAATGTCTGCTTCATCCATTTCAACTTTAAAATTTTGTTCTTCATATGGAAGACATTATGAAAAAATACAAACACTAAAATTTCCAAAAATGGTTCTTTTCTACTTAAATTGCTTATATTTCCAGAAAAATATCCACAATCAATTCTCACAGTTTATAAGTTTTTGTATTACATACCATAGATAATAATTATCTCAATTCATGAAAGTGCACATGCATCAAATGTGCCAAAATGCTAGTTATTATCGAAAGCTAATTAGGAAGTTATAAAACAGCCTTCAAATAAAATTTCATATTAAATAAATGAAACAGCATAGGGATCCATACCACTTCAGCTGTTTTAGCATTTGTTATATCACCCTGTACTTGAATAACACCTTCAATGGGAGCCATAGGCTGTAAGTCAATAGCCACAATAAGTGGTAGATCGTCGTCCCTAGAAATCACATGAATAAGAAAGATAGTAGCACCTCACATTACATGTTGGTGACATGGCCAGGAAAACCAACAAAAAATATATATAAGTGATAGCAACTTGACTTTTACAATTTTAAAGTTGGTCGAAGAGTGAATGTTAAAATCTCCTCTCCCACGGACGTATTATAGCTGCAACGGCAAGCCTCTAAGGTATGAAACTTGTCAACAGCCTAACTCAATCACCATTAGAAAAAATTAATGGAGAGCAACTTTTTCCCATTCCACGTGGTCATGTGGGGCAAGGTCAATGTGTTACTAGGATCTAGGAGAAGAGGATGCAGCAAGCTGAAGCTTTGGTTCATCCGTTCATGACTAATTGTTCTTCCATATTATTACATGATGAATATGATAGCATGCTGATTAACTCTCTTTCCAAAAGATTGAATTAGGAAGAAATAAGACAAAAGTCAAAACAAGTCACAGAAGCACCAACTACACAGGAACACTCTATCGTTAGATTTGAAAAGACAACTTTATAATATCATTATAATGGGCATATTTATTCACTTTTTCTTAGTAGACTAACTAGCTAAGTGACTAAGATATTTGCTGGATTAAGAAACATTGACCTGGACAACCATCTCGAGCTCCTAATATGAATTATCCATCAAAAAGACGAACAGAGGAAAGAGCAATTGACATAGAACCAATTCTACAAAAAGGAAAGTATACATACTTGGTATCAGGTGACAACTTTGCTGGGAGATATAACTTCCGGCTTAAAACCTATAAAGAGAATAAAAACATTTAGGGACTTGGAAATGGAGCACACAATAAGGAGAAAGACATGTAGCACATAATTGTATTTCTTTACTTTTTCATATCTTTCATTGTGGAAAGTAGTGGTACTATCAGAAACAAGCCAAATAATGGTGCACCATAAAACATAATGCCAAATCCAACAGCACGTAGATATTTGTCCAATAAGAACCTCTAAGAATCAGAAAAGGAAAATTCTTTCCATTTATTTCCCTAGTAAAGTTCACAAATTACAGTCTAAAAAACATAGTACTTTCCGGGCTTAAGACTGAACTCCCTCTTTTTTAATTCTCAAGATATTTTCAGTTCTAATGTTCTATGTAGGTCTGTTCCGTTAGAGCTTAAGAAAGCACAGAGGGGAAAGACTTTCAAGTTTAGAAGCCAAATCATATGGCAAAAAACAAAAGTTTGACCAAAATNACCTCTACATATGACAACATTTGTCCTATGGCATTAGTCACGCAAGTGTAAATACGTATATATGCAAAGATATGCTGAGAACTTGAGAATCACCTCCAAAATCTATATCACTCTTAAAATGATTATAAATTATAGTAATCCTTTCAAATAAGCATGAGTAAGCACAAGACTAAAGATATCAGTTGTGTTATTCTGAATAAAATAAAATAAAATTAAAAAGGCAAATCTTTATAGCAGGTGATTATTGATTACAGAGCTATACCCAGACACAGAAACAACAATAACCAACTAACAAAGTTCCAATTATAAATACCTGACTCCAGCTGCCTGGTGCTGCACACAAATCCACAACTCGCTTCACACCTGCATATATACAGGGCAATTAACGAAATTCCACAAGCAAGCAATTCTGACCAACAAAGCAACGTAAAATAATATTAGTTAACTCCTAATCTGCAACATTTTGCTGAAAGAGTATACTAGCATCCATCTAATCATTCAACATACAATTATTTCAAGCTCTAACCAAACATATTATGGGAAACATAAAAATTGATATCTTGTTCTCCATAGTCCATATAAAATATTGCTTCAAAACCTGAAAATTTAGCTTGTCTACAACTTCTTTAATTTTCATAAAAGGGATTAAGCCCTACATCAGGAGCTGCATTGTAATGAATTAACGAAGAGCTGCCAACTTTTCCAGATCCATCAAAAAGAGAAATCACAAGTAATAAAAGTTTTTACTCATTAAAGTCAGTTTGATAACGAGAAGCCGTTCTTTTCTTGGTAAAGATAAAATGCAGCAACTTTAATAATATTAATCTTTTTCCTTACATGTGGAGTCAATCAGGAAAAAAAAACTATGAAAATTGCAAGCAAGTTATTGAGAAGAGAACCTTCAAAGATGTTAAATTCCTCATCAATCTGAAGGAGCTTGAAGGCACTTCGGGCACGCCATCCTTCTTCCTTTGCTTTCCGATAGTAAATATCCTACAAAATTGAAACCTGTTAAGGATGAAGCGTCTGGTTATAAGCAAAAGAAAACGTCTGCATAAAATCCATACTCTTTTGTCCCTCGATGCTTTTCCCATCGCATAAACCTTCAGTCCTCCAAATTGCTTCAATATTGATGGAGTAATTGAATTGGGCCGTAAACTATGGCAGCAAAAGACTGAACTTTTTTAACCTTTAAGAGAATTGAAGCGGCAATGTCAAGTTTCTTAGCTAACCAACTCGCTAGTTATTGCACAACCAAAATAAAGATAGCTTTTTTTAATGACCGAGAAATTAAGACCCTTAAGAGAATAAGGATTTGTCTGGGCCAATCCAACAGCAACTTTCGGAACTCGGGGATAGGGGGCCCTCCCCTCTACCTTCTCCATTTAAATACTCGGATTAGTTCTCATGGAGCAAGGCTCTAAACTGTGACTTTTCAAATGCGGTCATTATCGCCCAACAATTCCTTCAGCTTATATGCGTGATATCCGTGAAGCTATATGCGTGATATGCGTGATATCCCAAATATGAGCCGTGCTAAGACCTAAAGGTTGTGGTTTTTCTTTTGGGACTTACGTCGAACAACTTATGAGCAAATGCTGGGATTTCGTTTAACAACACAAACAACATGTAAAAATAAGTTAACAGAGTATGAGCTGGAGAAGTCACCTGACTACACTTCAATTGAAGCAGAAATGAAGGCGTCGCCGGTTACAAAATTGGTGGACGTCGAGTTCAGCCACCGAGACGTAGAAAACTTTTTTCTTCTTCTCTCTTGAACTGGCAATTGGTTCTGGGCCAAGCCCATTTTCACAAATGAACCCAAAAAAAAAGAGCCCAAATTTCGTGCCACTTTTGAAATTATTGGTTGGTATTGTAGAAAGATAATACGGCAATAAAGTTACAAGTTGCTGAATTAGTAATATATGAATTATAATTGATGTTTCTAAAAGATTTATGCACTTAACACAGTAGTACCATGTTTGTTTTTTAAATAGAATTATTTACTTTCCTGCTTTAAAATTGTCACATCTCCTTTTTCCCGAGAAATAGCGAATTTTTCTAATTAAAGTGACATTATTCGTAATGGGATTATTTATTTAATTTAGAGTCGCCACTTGAAATAATTTTTATGGTGTCCTAAGTCACCGATTTATTTTAAAATCCCAAATCGAGGAAAATTAACTTTATTTATGGTCTGAACACAGAAGACCGGGTAAGGAATTGTGTTAATCCGGGAGAAGGTGTGAGGCACTCCCAAGTTACGTGGTTTTAGCACGGTCGCTCAACAATTAATAATTGGCCTAATTATCTTATTTATTATATGTTTAAAACCTATTGTGCATTTCTACTTTTTAACTACTTTTAATTATTTATTTAACTGCTTTTAGTATTTATGAAAGTTATTTGAACAAGTCGCGATGTCGCGCACTTATTTTTTTTGGTACATATTGCAATCGCGCTAAGTGAAACGCACCCGCGATTTACAACATGTTTAAAATCAAAGAAAATAAAAAAAAGAAAGAAAAAAAGAAATAAGGAGTTTGTTTGGTCTTAGTAAGAATTAGGCCAAAAGCCATCTCAGTGGCCCAAATGCCTTAATTCCACCCGACCCAGTCCTTAATCTACCCGGTCCAATTCAGGTGATCTAAAACGACGCCGTTTCAAAAACGGCTAATCTTGGCCTGTCATTTTTTTTTTATCTGACGGTCTGCAACTCACCCCTCATCCCCTTAAAATTGTCCACC